GTGGTCCATGGCATATTGCTAAGGGTATTGTTCCGACTTTAGCCTGGTGTTGATCGGAGAAACCACAGAAAACTACCCGTCAGAGCAGCCGGCCGCTAGAATTCTCCTCCAGACAGCGGCTGAATTTGACCTAGCTCTCTAACTTGTGTCGAAAATGCTGCTAATGTCGGGACCGATCCCTAAGACCCCGAGTTAGATGCATTGCAGTGACATCAGTTGAAGCCCTAAGTCACCTTTGCCGGTGTATCCATTTTGATGTTCGTTAAAGTACGTATTTATGCTTGACATCAAGAAGGATTTTTTGATGAAACGGATGAATTTTTTTGTTTGAAACGGATATTTTTATCTTTGAGGCGACTTTAAAATTTTCTTAAAAAAAGGTTCCATGTTTAAAATATGTTTTGCTTTAATAGAGCAACTTAGGCTCATAAAATGGAGCACATCCAATTTGCATTGAAACATCTGAATTTTCGAAAATTGCAGAATTTAAACATTTTTCGACGCCCTATTGTATCTCTCCAATTAAAGATAGTGATTTTTCTTAATGACAATTGTCTTTCATAATTTTATTTTGAATTATTATCAAGTACAATTATTAAAGAGAGTAGTTCCGATTTCGTGTACTTTTGAGATAAATAGTGACAGTTTAAAACCTATGTAAATAAGATTTTCTCAAGAACGGCTCCAAATGTTTTCTTGAAATTTTCTCCTTAAATAGAGTATGCTTCGCTTAATACTAATATGGCATAGATCCTATTGCAACACTTTTCCTCAATATTAGACATTTAAAACATTTCATGCTCAATGTTTTTGAAACTTTATTAAGTAATCAAACCTCGTTAAGTAGGGCCTTATACGTGGGAAATTTCTATAAGTGGGACTAATTATTACATCTCTATATTATTATATGAAAAACCTTTATTCGTGAGAATTACTTGAGCTCAGAAAAATCTCTCTAACTGAGACAGCATATTTTCCCTGATGTTTGTTTAGTGAGGACTTGGCGTTCAAGTATTTCGTCGGGAAATATCATTTTCACATAGTTTTGAATATTTCTACACGTTATTCAGTTCTAATTAACGTGTACTAACCAAAACTTCCGTTGAAGAATGGAAGGCAGAATGCGTCCTCAGAACGTCCAATTCATTGTAGTGTGTCAATCATCGTCATTCACTGCCTTCTATCCCTTTGGTCAGAGACTCGCGCACCGTTAGATCCCGGAGTTCTGATACTGTCACCCAACCAGGAACCCGCGACGCCTTAAATTGCTTAACCAACGCCTTAACTTGCGACGGACGGCGGCCGGATTTGATACTCATAGATTTTATAAAATTTGTATGTTCCGCATTGTTCGCCGTTGCATACAACAACTGTATGGAATCTGTAACTATCGATTCTAAGAACTTCGTGTTTCAATCACTAGAGACCGAAATGATCGTTATCCGAATAACGCATGTTTTACAGTACATTTTGCACTTTCCAAGCGTGTCTTGCAGTGAGTTTTCTTTTGGTTTTATTGTTAAGATTCTGGCCGTCATTTTATGTGAATTTTCTCAGTAATTACTTAAGCATGTCATTTCATTTTATTTTAATTTTTCTTTAATACGTCTTATATATTTTCTTTAGATAACTAATTTCTTGAATTAACCATTGGCTATTTGTATTCTGGTAATTTAAATGTATTTGGCAAATTTCTTCGCCTAACACGTTGTGTTATCAGAATCTATATTTTGCGAGTTTTTGATATCGAAAAGTCGATTTGTGAAAAAACGGTGCTTGTCCATCCGTCTGTCTGTAGTCAACACTAGCGTCTAAACCAGAGGTGCCAACTTGCAAAACCACTACATTGAACATGATTGCTGGCCATATTTTCATTACTCGGGCATTCCTCAATTTTCGATGTCGGCAATTTGGTCCGGAAACGGAAGTGGAACTATGCATGATATGAGGCTCTCACGCATAACACAGTGAAGCACACTGAGATGATTTTGAATTTCTGAATTTACTACAAAAATCCTTAAATATAAACATTTTTTTACATTAAGAAGGTGTTGACCCGACAATGCGCGAGGCGCAATTTTCGACGTTTTTCTCAGAATTTATAAAATATCACTTATACCGTTCTGATTTCCATCCATTCAAATATGGCTCTTGTAGTTAGAAATACGGTAGACTGCCCTTTTAAGTAAGTGGGCGAATAATTTCACAGCATGGATCATAGCATTAGACGCCCAGGCTTTCAATCTACGCGCGCGTCGACCCATCCAACTTCTCCCCTCCCCGCCAAGCGGTCTTCTCCCCATCACTTGCACTTTCGGGATTTTCATAGGCAGTCGGCTGGCTCCTACATGCAGAATGACTGCTGGAGAAGGCGTAATTTTGCGTGAAGTATAGACATTTTTTTAAAACAATTATTTTATGAAGTGACGCGGAGGTGACATTTACATACAAGAGCGATAATTGTGCTGATGAAAATTCTTCACAAGGTTGGTTATCTCGGTAGCTTAGTGGTTAGAAAAGCTGGGCGTAAACCAGGAGATTCGGTTTCGAATCCAGTTTGCGGCAGCCAATTCTTTGAAAAAATTTAATCACTAAATCCTTATTTTCACAGCAAAAATGAGAGAATTCAGAATTAGCTGATATTTAACACACACAGGGAAGCAACAAGCAATTACAGTGTGTTCACATCCTATATACCTTGCGCTCTACACGCCAAACAGAAACCAATAGGTGAACCACATCACCACAAATGTCAGGAACTCGCAATAAAACCAAGAATACTGGCCAGTTGTTTCGATTATCGCGCATTGGTGCCATGTCGCATATTTGTAGAATATATAAGCAATTGTAGACCCCTTTCCGGATCTATAAGGTCTAGAAAGTTATATAGGTCCTACAAACTAATTTTTTTGATATTTAAGGTCACATCAACTTCTAGGTCATTAGCGACCACTATTTCTTGTAACGGTATGGTTAGTGTGTGGATGGCACGATTTGACGATGATAGGGGGTGAAAGGACGAACACAATACAACTATGCCCGAAGCGGGACTCGAACCCGCGATCCTTCGGTCCAAGATCGCTACGGCACTACTGCCTTAGCGATCTCGGCCACCGGATTGGCAAGGCCGTTTTTGCTGATCTAGAAACGCCTCATTATTAAAATTTAGAAATGACATTAAAATGTTATGTAATCATTTCCAAAAATACGAGAAAGTAGGTGAATATTTAGCATAAGTTTGACATCCCGTAATTGTGTAATCACTTATTCACCACAGAGTATTTGAATGATTGTTCTTTGCATGATCAAGATTGAGAGCGACATGTCAACCTCTCTCTCAGAGGGTGACTTACTTTCACGGTGACGTCACGTTTTTCAACTACCTTAAGAAAAGTATAACTTCATGCGCACGTAGCGGTATGTAAAAATTCCCTATTTGACGTTGGAAGAAGAGAATTTAAAGGAAAAAAATAAGGAAAAAATTGGAGCCGTTTTGCCAAAAAAGAAAGAAAAAAATAATCTGCAGTAACGTCAAGAAGAAATTACAGGAAAACTACGTCTTTCGAAACATGTGTATGACCTTTTTTCAAGATTTTAGTTTTTATAACAGATTTCATAGAAGATAAAAATCACTATTTTCAGTATTGTACTTTTACAGTGTTATTTTTTTTCAATTTTCGAAAATTCATAGTTGAACGAAAATGAGATCTTCACCAATATTTTAAGCATTCTTTACATTATCCGACGTCAAAGTTTAATAAAAGAAGTTTGGAGCAATTTTTCAGAAGATTTTTAAAATGTCGAGACTTTTGTAAAGTACCCCCAAAATCAAAATAGCTGTTTCAGCATGCAGAGCCTCGATTTCGTATAGATCGAGCAGAGTATATTAATTTTGAAGAAAATAGTGTGAATTGTCGAAGCGCTAACATTGACCACGGACATACGGTTTGCCCTCAATCGATTTTTTGGTAGCAGGGACCCACAAAATGATAAGGATTCTCACTACACAAATTTTAGAGGAAGTGATTTACAAAACATATAGGGTCTATAGGAACATTTTTCCTCTTTTTCGTTACCTGGGCCCGCCAACATTTTTCTGTAAAAATTCACTGTTTTCCCGGCGCACGATTACAATACTTTTTTTTACCAAGTAAGGCACAAAAGTAACTAGTACTAAAACAGCACGTACTTTCTCGCTCGTATTGTGACACAAAATGACGCGAAAAGTACGAATATTAACGTTTTTCAAAAATTTGTACTTGGCCTTCTTTCAAAATCTACATTTGAGAAACTAATTTCATTTGGAGGAAAATCTCAGTCTTTAATATTTTAGTTGTAGGAAGACTCCGAAAAAATTTGAACTTTTACTATTTTCGGAAAATCAGGGTTTTAACGAGAAAGAGACCGTACCATTCTTTTAAACGCCTCTCACACTATCCAACAACAAAATTTAATCATAAACGATGGTGCCATTGTTTTAAAAATTAGAGAAATGTCTCAGGAACTTCATGTAATGAAATTGAAATATCGGTTTCAAATTAAAGTGGCCGCAACACCAGCCAGATCTATTGGTCAATATCAATTTTGAAGAAAATTTGCTGAAAGGTTTCGCCTCTATCATTATTCACGGACGCACTGTCTGGCCGTCATTAGAATTTTCGGTATCAAGGACCTACAAAATATGGATTCTGGCTACACCACGAGATAGAGAATTTTTTTCTAATTTTAACGACTGGATTCATCCTCTTTCTCGTTACCAGGGCCATGCAATAAGAGTTTTCCACCGAAAATTCGCTGTTTTTTCTCACAGCATTCTATAATTTTCCCTCTACTCCGTGAGGAGAAAGTAAAAATGAATGTCGTAACACAGGACGTATTAAGAAAGGTTCACTGAGTGAAACTTTGATTCATGCGATACTTTTTTTTAGCGATTTGAACAGGACGCACTGTCTCTGTTTTTCCGGTGAATGTGTTTTTATTATATTGATTTTGTTTCAGATAATTACCACCTACTCCATACGGCTACCAGTCGTCTTGTTGCGCAAGGCTCAGGACAAATTCAACTGTGGCAGTTTCTTCTGGAGCTGCTGAGTGATCGAAGCAACTCTTCGTGCATTGCATGGGAGGGCACAAATGGCGAATTCAAACTCAACGACCCAGACGAAGTGGCACGGCGGTGGGGAGAACGCAAATCCAAACCAAATATGAATTACGACAAACTAAGCCGAGCGCTCAGGTTAGTAGAGTTGAAACAATCTCATTGCCGCTAAATCTCTAGCACGTCACCAGATCCATTATCACTTCCTTGTATCACTTGGATGTTCTGTAATTTTGCACATGTGCCGACATCCATGTACTATCGGAAGTACGATTCTTAGATGTGCGAAATATTGAAATGATTTACGAGAATTTGGCCCAAGAGAAAACGGGACGAAAAGTCTCACCTTGAACACGAATTGCTGCATTAAACACACTTGCGGTGAAGAAGTTGGAAACCATGGAAAACTTGACAATATTGAACTCACCTGATTCAGTACACCATTGCTTCATTTCATTCCGGAAGTTACGACATTTCGTTTCCTATGTTTTGGGACTACTGCTCACAGAAGACAATTTATAATAGTATTATTATTTAATACCTCATATATACAAACAATGCATTATAACTGCCGTGAGAATATTTTTGGGAGAAAAATCTAAATTACTTTTGTTACCTTCCCCTTCTATTGAAAACGTTTCTGCTGAACTTGAATGTTCATTCATGATGTGGTCATGAATACTGAATGGTTCTCAAGGCATGTTCTGAGATGATTTTAGAAGACAAAAGTTATTGGACTCTCCAAAATGAATGTGTTAAGGCAAAGAATAAATTGTAGTAACGGAATATCGCAAGAATACCAATTTTCTCGTGGTCAATTATTGGATCCAAAAGATTGATATTAACTGAAAAAAGCTGAGTATTGAAATGTGAAGGTTTCGGGACCATACAACCAGCCATTTCTGGCGAAGATAAATTTGTCTAGCTAAACTTGTTCGGAGAGCCGTTCTCGAACCACTATGACTTCTAACACAACTTTCTCATTTTACTAAAAATTCTGAGATCGTGCATCTCTTGCACTTTAGACAGAAACATTGAATGCCTTCGTCAGAAGTAAGAGTTCGTCTGAGGTCATCCATGCTAAGTATGGCGATTCCGTTTTTAAAAACTGCCTTCAAAAATGAAAACTGCAACGGATAATGATGGGGGTTCCATTTTTATAGAAACAGAGCTGTAACTGAATTTGAATCCTAAAGAATGTCTTGAGGTAGTTCAAACGCGCATACAGGATGAATTAACAGAATTATGAAGCCAGAACCTAAGTAGCTTAGACATGTGAGATGACATTACCATTGTATTTGAACTTCAAAGATGAGGGTTCACTTAATTGTCTATGCTGACTGTAGATTCACTCTCCTTTACTTCAAGTTTATATAACTCTTGATTGTTTACTGCTTTGTAAGGTCGGGCTGTAGTGTTAATACAGTTTTGAGTTATGGTTTTTTGAAACTTTTTTTAGCTTCTATTATAGCAAAATCTATTTCATCTACGAATATTTTAATTCATCTTAAGAAGAAATAATGTCTATTTTATTTGTTCATGTTTTCAAAATATATAATTATATAAAGAAACATATTTACTATCAAGCCATTTACTTAATATGAATGACATAAAATACATTTTCCTATTTTGAAAGAAAAACAAAATTTGAAACAATGTTTAGAGGCACATGACGGTGATGTACTATTGAACACAATATACATCGTGTTCCAGTCACATTATATTTCGAACTGTTGCAGAAATTAACCCCGAGAAGACGTTCATTCTGGCGTTGTGAGATACCATAATTCACTGGGTTTGTAAGTACCACGTTTCAGATTCATGTATGTCAAATATTTCCTCACTGGCATAAAGAAATTTATTTCAGCATGCCATTTTACGTATTTCGCTTGCTATTCGAAGCCTCCTTAGACCTGACCACTTAAATATCTTTATATTTTTATAATTACAGTTGATATGTTCAGGCGCAAATAGTAACCGACTTTTTACGTTACGTTGACAAGTATAATGATCGCATTAACTACACGGAATAGAGGGCACATAAATTATGAATGTATTTTCATTGCCATTTTTTCTGAACCTTAATGTGATATAAAAAGAGACTTTGCATCATTAATAAGAAAGGCAGTAATCTTAATCATAATCAAAATTTCAGGAGTCACCTCTTACACCGAAATGTGTCAATTAGGAACAAAGTGCAAAAGAGAGGGGGCAGTTTTTATATTTATATTTGGGATGCAAGTTCAAGGCTCATCCCGGCATACGCCTTAAGCGGTTGAGTATACCCAGAAAAAACTCAATCAGGACGACAGCTTAGGGCTGAAACATATGTAAAATGTGCAAACTGGAAGAATAAATAGGAAGAAAGTAGACAGATCAAGGAAAAATATAAGGTCAGAAGGAAAGTAGCAGGAGTTGATTATGAAACTGAGAAACGAGGGAGGACGCAGATATGGTCGTAAAATTTGCAGTTTTCGTAATAGGACACGAAAACTGGCTGGAGATAATCTGTAAAACATATAACAACTACACAGATGATCAGGATAATCACAACATAGCAAGAAAAGGCGACAAAAAATAATGATATGAAATGTCAATGATTTCTTATAAATTACAATAGTAGTAATTGTAGTTGTTGAAGGTAATGTTAATAATAGAGATTAGTACATTAAGAGTAACACTGCTACTTATCCAATTATAAATCAAAGAATAGAAATACCACAACAAAGTGCTACTTTTCATTCGCCCTAAAACAAATACGTCACCACAAGGGTCAAATGGCTTCTTAACAAACTTGTATCAGAACACCATGGTCCTTCAGAATGTTCTTGACGAAGTAATAGTCTCTGATATGGCGCAATTGGCTCGCAGTTCATCGGTCGTCTAGTGTCCAGATTTCTTCTTCGACCTCTAGACCAGTGGCGGCCGGGGTGTGGCGGATAAGGCATGGCGGTGGCATGAGTGTCCGAACAATCGCAGACGTTTTGTCGCGTGAAAATATTTATTGAACGAGGGCAAACTACATGAAGTGTACGCCTGATTATAAATAACGGAAATTTTAATCCTTGTCTAAGACAATTTTTAATGTGATAATGGAAGATGCAATTGTGCTCACGAAAATTAAATATTTTAAAAAACATTTGCAATAAATAAACCAGTAATTTTTATTCAGTTAATAAACGCCGTCTCTGCCGCACAAAATCAAAGCCGCCGCCACCCAACTCTCAGTTCCCCCTCTCAGTCTCCTGCTTCCATTGCCTAACATGCAAAAGCTACGGACAGCATCGCCATAGTGAAGCAGTTCGTTTGAAGAACATTGCTCATTCGGTTACAAAAGGAGGGGATTCATGGGCAAATTTTGGGAGAAGATATTCAAAATGTTTTGGTCCAATGTGTCATATTACAAGTTCTGTAAAATGTTGCAAGCTACACTCAGCTCATGCTGCGATACGAATTTATTCGTTCTAATAATTATCCGAAAATATTTTTGCTTAAAAGTTTCGTGACTAGTTGAAATAAATAGTTACTGAATCATTTTAGGGAGGGGGTTTCCCTCATTTCCCTCCCCGTGTATCCGCGCCTTCTTACAAGAACACATCAAATTAAATTCGTCCTCAGAACTTGCGCTGATGGTGTGTACAAAGTAAACGAGTCAATTTAGTATAATTTTTAATACGTTCCGCAACGTTTCAGGTACTTGATTTTTCTAGGGCGAGCGCCACCCTTGAGCCCATACAGAGCAGCCAGCATTGCTTAAACCGTATCAAAGGTACAACAGTCTCCGAATTAATAAAACGTCTCATAAAGAAGAGGCTATTACTTTTAAAAGCACACTGAAGAAAGTACTTTAGCCGAAGAATCATAATTCTTTGACAATCCAGTGCGATTGCAGGTCACCACCACGATGAATCGTATATCCAAAAAGCTACAATGGCATGCTCGGAGAAAGTGTTGTTATCAATCTCAAGAGGAAATTCATATCTCTACCAGAAGGGTTTTTTATCTTCGTGAGCTAAGATATGATGAACTTATGCTTTCCTTAAAAGCAAGATTTCATGATATTCAGCGTTTCAAAACATGTTCTTCTGTTAAAGTCAAAAAATGTATGAAGCAATCCGTCACTTGTGACTTTTCTATGCATTGTTTTTAGCTCATAAGACTAGTTTCAAATCATAACATTACGAATAGGCCAACGTAGGTAGGTAAAGTTCATAATACTTTCAAACAAACATGTGTATATCATTAGATTTCACTGCAAATAAATCCCAAAATATAATAGCTAAAAACGCAAGAAATATAAGAGAGTAATTGCACATAAGTTGCAAGGATAAGGATTTACTTAGTTGGCTTTTCTGAGAGGAGATTCATTCTTTTTTGATTTCATTTTGTGACCTAAAGTAAATAATGAAAGTCATTAATAGAAAGTATATGCTTATGTATGTATCATCCAACTGCATAATATGGTACATCAGCTGGATATTATTTGAAGCAACTTATAACATATTTGCTTTGATTAGTTTATTTTATTTCGTTTTAAAATTAAAAAGACCCTTTTTTCGAAAAATTGTTTACTGGGCCCTGATATTTCTTCTCCTATTCACTTCAAATATGGACGTTGATACAGTAAAGTGTACTGATACTGAGAAACATATTACAAAGAAAACTTATGCTCAACTATGGATATATGTTGACATTTAAAGTAAAAACTGCAAACACGATGTGTAAAATTATTTTTCAAATGCCTTTTATTTAAATTAAGTGAAAGCGGAGATTGTAAGAAATTAAGTTATAGCATGAAATCTTCATAATTGAATTTCTTACGGAAATCTACAAGCACGAAATATTTTGAAAAAAGAATTATGAAGGCTCACAAAAAACATATTAAAGTGAAAAGTCTGAAATAATTTTAGTACATAAAAAGGAATTCACAATTCAAAACTTTCAAGAAATGATACTTTTGTAATACACGTTCTTTCAAATTCAACTTACCTAGAAGCTTCATCCATAACGATTTACTGCATCCCCGAAATTGCTTTGTAAAGTTTGAACAATCGAAGCAAAATATAAACTATATTTTTGCATATTATTGCTTGTGGTTTAGGGATACCATGCCAAAAATATTTTTTTGATAAAACGTGTCCATTACCAATAAAAAAATTAAAAAAACGACTGAGTCGCTATAAAATGTGATGTTATTGCAAGTACAAGTGGTGGTACAAGCTGTAGTTTACGCGGTGCGCAATTCGGCTTCGCAGTTTGACTGAGGCGAGAAGGGGCGGCGATCGCCCTTGCGCGTTTGTGCAGGGAGGCGGCGGAACTCGAGAGCTGCTCAGGCAGGAGGATTAAATATCCCAGGCGTATCATTGGTATTTAGGGAAAAGCTATAGGAGCTTAATTGGAAAGTCACTTCCAGGTTCAACTAAACTCACCATCAATTAATAAAATAAACAAAAAATACAGATTATTTCGAAGAACACATGTCAGAGAACAAAAGTATTTTGTAAAGAACAAGAAATAAGTAAATGATATAATACGTTTAAAAATACGGCTGACTGAGGAGGACAAGCGTGAAGAAAAAATCGAGTTTCCTACTCTCGTGGGCGAAAAATGGGTGGGCTACGCCCAAATATATTTCTGCGAACACAATTAACCTAATCTTCGGTACATCCGCTGTTACATTCAAAGTAAGAAGTGTGGCTAAACTCCCATAACAAATTTAAAGGAACTAAATTCGATTCCTTCATGAAACCTGGCAATCATCGGCAACAATAGCACATAATTTCATCTGGTGGGCTCTTAAGGCTCAGGGTCTCCCTACAACTGCTTCGCGATCCCTTTGAAGACCGCGGGCCTCAGTTTGAGAGCCTGTAGTTTGAGAACTATAATAAATTATTAGCATGGGAGTTTGATTTTGTCCCGTCATTTTCGACGGACGACCACTTTGCTAAGATAGTTCAACCATATGGTTCATAGTTCTAATCAAAAATTAAAATTGTCAGACACATTAAATAATCGGAAAATGTAGGTCATTACAAAGTTAACACTTTTCATTGTTACCAACAACTAAAAAAGTTTGCAAAGTATTAGCAAAATCAAAAACTGCAAATTTCTCATTGCATAATTTTCAATGAAATAAACTGTTTCTATTATATGTAAGTAAAACTGGATACCTTCTTTGTGAATTGCCAACCAATTGCTCAATTTTATCCTCAAACATTGTGGTCAACAAGAAAAGGTTTAGGGGAAGAAAATACCATATACACATGTCAAAAACGTATTGATTCTTGATGAAGATCGTAACCTACAGTTGATTATAAAAATATGAAACACAATGTGTCACTGTAAAAGAATTCAAGTCGCCATCATATAAGTGAAGAAAAATGAAAGAGGGTAGAAAGGAACAAACAAAGATCGTCAGACGATAAATGAATAGTCAGGTGTTGAAAAAACATGCCCTTCGTAAAGCCTTTTACATAACATACATTTAACCTACGATTTTTTTTACTCTGGGGTGCGTTTTGTTCTCGTCAAGCGACTTTCTTCTAAGAGGTTTGTACGTTATGCTACCGGGTCATCATGTGCGAAAATTGCACACACTTCAGTGCAAGTCCCAAGCCAGCAAGCTTTGCGGCAATCATTATCCTTCCATTCGATCACACAGAGTCTCATCGCAGATGATAAAACGCAAATGGTCACCTCGCGAAGCCAAGGTTGATCGTACTAAAACGTCTGCGAAGGTTCGGAGTTCTCCACTGCGACCGCCGAAGGTAGAGGCGTCGCAGCGTATCCCGAATGGACCGAAGTAAGTTAAACGGGTATGCAGAACCCTTTCCCGTCTCCTGGCTGCCTTCGGAGCACAGCGGGAAGGAGCGTGGGGCCTCGCGCGCATCAGACCAGTTGCCCGCGGGCCCAGCACGAGACGCATTGGCGGCAGTGCGCAGCATGCTGTACGCACGCCGGACACCGCTCGTCACCTTCAGGGCAAATCCTGTGCTCAACGCTGCCTCAAGAGGACTCCTCAACCCGTTGTTGCGCTTGCCATACAAAGGGGTTTGTTATCAAGGCGGAAATTCGTGCGTGAACCGAGACTGTATCGTGATCAACTTCATCCAGGGTTCAGAAAGAAATCGGGTACAATGCCGTTGGGTGTACCGTGGTTTTGACTCCAAGGGACCATTCATGCAATGGGATTAACTTCTACTCTGCCTGAAGCTGAGGATGCGTGTGTGATACCACAGCTGATGATCGCGTAGAACGATTAATATAAACAAAATATTTTCATGATACAGACTATGAGCGGACGCAATTTTGTTAAAATAATTATTTTTGTTACTTGTTTGATTTATGTCTAAAAAATAATAAGAATTATAAGAAGTTTTAGAAAGTTATATGTTATTATCCTCCCTAAGTCGCACTCAATACTAGTATAATGCTACTCAAGTGGTTGACCATGTTTTGATGAAAACAATTATAGTTGTAGCAGATATTAGATGCCTTTTGAGACGAGATTATGAAGAATGAAATAATATTATCAATATAAAAATCTATAAGCATTAAAATCCTCTTTTAATCATTAATATCAATTTACAAACAATAAGATACAGAACAACTTGAGCGTAAAACTCTGGTCCCCATGTTCTAGATACTTCTACTTTCAAGTGGTGTCCTTAACATCGTGATCTTGATCGCAGATAACGGGTTGGATGAAGCACTTTGTCTATCGTGGGTTGGAAGTTACCACAAATTGTAATACAGCTCGCTCGTTTTGGAACCACGGTCACCATTCACACCATCACCTCACCAAAGTAGACCACGTAGAATAAGAAATGCATCGAAGAATTAAATGTAATATTTTCATTTCTTCTGATACTATGCAATACAATGCATTGTACAGGACAACTTCTGAAGATTTCGGTTTCTCGTAAAACTGAAATTGAGATTAAATGGCGCCTGTGATGTTGACGTAACACATACAAAAGAATTTTCGCCTGCTACTAAACGAGGTTGCTACAATCCGGATTTGCACCATTATTCTTCAAGAAGACGGAACGTCCCGTTATTTTAAGTGCGTTTGATGTCTGTTATAGTTTTTAATTTAACTTTTAGGTTCTTTATGTTCAAGTTATAGTGAGATTTACGTAATCAGACAAGAGGAGCAGGACTCGACTTTGTCCAAATCAGGTCCACGCGGCGGCTCCGCGTGAGAAGAGTGCGGGCATTTTAGAACCTCAACCTCGATTCGATGAAATTTCCCAGAAATTAAATTTTCAAAAGATTTAAAACACATTTAATAAGAAAAAGCAATTGATAATTGCATAATAATACATCATTAAATTGGAAATTTAATATGGATGAAACATTGTAATTATACACTCTTAATTTGACTTGCACACTTCCCAAATTATTGTCTGCATACGCCTCAGAGTAGCTCTTGAACTGTAATTTGGGTTGTGCGTTTTGCTTCCAAATTCCGGAGTACGGCCTCTCTCTCAATGGCTTGGTGCGTTTGTTTTCGCAGGTACTACTACGACAAGAACATCATGACCAAGGTGCACGGCAAGCGCTACGCCTACAAGTTCGACTTCCACGGGCTGATGGCCGCGTGCCAGGCGCAGGTGCAGGGCTCGGGCTGCGGGGGCGACGCCTTCGCCAAGTTGCACCACCAGGGGGAGCTGAGCCCCCCGCTGTACCCCGTGCACGCGGCGGCAGCGGCTGCGGCGGCGGGGGCCAAGCTGCCGGCGCTCATGCAGCCCCCGCCGCCCTTCCCCGCGCCCTCCTACTGGACGTCGGCGGCGGCGTCGGTGGCGTCGGCGGCGTCCGCGGCGTCCGTCGCCTCCGCCAGCCTCTCCTCCATCTACTCGGCGGCCGCCGTGCCGCACTCGTCCGCGCGCTACCCGTACCCCGGCGCCGGCACGCCCTGAGCGGCGGCGGGGGCGGACAGACACTCGACGCCGCGTTCGCAAGGGCTGCTCGCTCTCGAGGGTCGCTTGGACGGCATAAACCGGGTCCAGGGAACGGCTCTGAGCCGTCTCCGTGTGCACATGGAGTGGGAAGCTCTTGGTCGACCATACGAGCGAGAACTGATAAACATATCGGCTTCCAGAAATTTAGTATTCCTAAAGTAATCTCAAATCAACGGACAAATTGTGCCGCTGAGTGAAAACTCAAGAAAATGTGAGATTCCATTCTTACAAAGAATGGGTCGTATACAGTTACTTTCATTTGAATCGCAAATTGGAGTAATAAAAATCTGTGCCAACTATATCGTACAACATTTTTTAGAGGTTGCCAAAAAAATCTTGCTCCTTTAATTTTAATTCCTTTATTTTCATTTTTATGAAAACTTAAAATTACGAAAACCCTCTGAAAATAAGAATACAATCGTGGAAAGTGAGTGTAAGTATGTATGTGGGTATGTAAATGTGCAGTTCATTATTATGTTCAAAAGAATTTCTCACTTTTCGTATTCCTAATGAACATTTCATTTTAATGGTCGGACGTACGAACCGACGTCTCTGAATTGTGTATTTATTTCAGAGATATACGTATGTCAGTGAAGAATAGTCCAAGATGCTTCTTAATCCAAGGAAATTCTTGTCATGGCATATCAAGAGAATGTTAATGAGACGGGACCCGAAGTTCCCCTAACCGCGGCAGATATTTGGATATGAAGTGCTACCTTTTCTGTAGGGGCTCGGCATCGTTAATATCGGGGTTACCAGACGGTCATCGAACCAGGGACCCTCAGTGCACGAACTGCTTAACTGCCATGGCTTTACAGAACGTGGTTAAGCAGTCGGGCAACCGACGCCTCAACGAAGTACATTTCCAACAAGGCGACACGTTCATCTTCCGTTAACATTGTCAAAGTGATTTTTCTTTACTGAACCTGGATTTTTATGAGCATGTCGGAAACGAGAATGAAATTCTGCCCATGGACGGAACACGTGCTTTCTTCTTCCTCCAACTAAACCAGACAAGGCAGTCATCCTGACACCTGAGAGCGCACGACTACCGAAGTGTCAATTTTATTTCACACAGTTGCCAAGTGACGACGACCAGGACTACATTTCTAAATGCAGTTTGCGAGATACAAAAAAGACACAAAAGATATTTATGTACCGAAATGTTGTAGACCAGATTTGTAGTATCGAGTCAGATAATCAATTAGAACATGCCATGTGAATAAAACTGAAGAACTATCAAAAAACATGTTCAGAAGTGAATGGTATTACAACAAATATCACCTGAAGTAAAATACAAAGAACCCATTCAGCTACATAAAAAACCTACATTTCTTTATTATGCGAAAAAATATTCAAACAATTTCAAAAAATATTATTTTACGTGTTTTTTAGAGAAAGTAATACTTTGGGAAGTGGGTGCTATTATAAGTAAGATTAATGAATAAGAATTGGATGGAAGTAGCGTGGGGGAAATTACACCATGGGCATACCAAAATGAAAAACCATGGCCTTGAGGTTGATCCTGTCGATAGTTAAACATTTGGTATTATCTGCAATTTGTTGTGAGTAAATTCATCCCGAAACATAATATTTTCAGACCTTTGAAACACACTTTCAGAATAATGTGTGAAAACTTACATCAATAAATACTTGCTTGGCTATCCGGGAGACACCGCGTCCAGGGCACACGTGCCATCGTTTCGGTCGCCATTCTGCGACCTTCATCAGGGCGTAGTTATTGCGCGAAGTTGGACTGCACACGGGTTTATGTAGTTTAGTACAATAACACCCGATGAAGATCGCAAAATGGCGACCGAAACGTTGGCACCTGTGGCCTGGACACGGATTCCCCTGGATAGCCAAGTAAGTACTGACTCCGGCCGCGGAAGCCCACGCTCTCACTTCCATCAATAAGTTACATAAATAGAATTTTGAGTGAAACGGTTTCTAATTACTGGTTTCCGAGTGCGTGAACAGCTGTGCCCGCTTGCGGAGTGAATGATTTTTTATCGCGGGAGGCGACGGTTCTACCCTAATGGATGAAGAAATGCTGCACCAACTTGCATGTCAGCTTGCGCAGGATTTTCCTCTCCAAGTATCTCCCCCAGCGGGCAGCGACCCAACAGGGACAAGCTGGGCTAGGAGAGTTCTCAATTCGTCTACCCACATGTGTGTGTAATTGCAATGTAGTGCATGTAATTGCAAGTGTAAGGAATAGGAATAGGAAGGAACGATCACGCTCGGCCCGTGGGTCATTTGTGAGGGCGATCGGAGAAATCATGGAAAACCTCCGAGTAGCCGGCCGCTGGAATTCTCCTCCACACAGCGATTGAATTCCAAATTTGTAATTAATATGTTTCAGAAGGTCAAAACGACAAAGAACTTGCAGAATAGCTCTTATGTTGCATATTTCTGTCTGATTAATATTACGAAAGTTTATAATGTATGATTTGTGTTATCTATATATTCAGAAATGCCGGTTTTTGGAAAAAAGTAATCGAATCATTTGCTGCCGGAAAAGAATTAAAAGTCTATTCTTTCATACATTTACGACGTTTGAAGGTACTTGAATATGTTTTATTACAAACTACCAATATGACTATCATCAAGTGCGTTTTTTTCTTGAAAACACACAACTATTGTTGGTTAGCATGGAAGCTTGTTACTGCATTTAGAAAAAAATATGTAGACTAATATATTGTTTCTATTCAGTTTATTACGGTTTTATTTGCGCGTTCATTCTTTTACCACACTAAAACAAAAAAAAATAATAAAACAACTGAAATACAGTGAAACATATCGATAAATGACTCTCTCGAGACAAAAAAGTCCCTTTAAGGGGTATTCACAAAAATGTGCTTCTGAGATGTTTTCGCCCTGGACTTAGAAAATTGTCCGCTATGATGATGTATCCACTCATAATATTCTTGAAGTTCAGAATGGTTTCAATATATTCTCAAAACATAAAAACATGATAGCATTTTCTAGTATGCAAACTCCGTATTAGAACTTCATTGCCAGCTTTTGGAATTATCTATAATTGAAGTGCAAATGTTTAATGGAGGATCCAGAAATACATTCGAGACATATATTATCATATTTTACATGTTTTGCGCTTCCATTGCAGATGATAGTATCATCATAATCCTGAGTTTAAAATGTGAAACGGCTACGGATTCAGGGCCACGGAGTCTTCATTTTGTATTGAATTACAAAACGAACTACCGACACCTAAAATATTCAGTTACTCGTCCCGAATCACAATAATACGTGTTACCGGAGTTCAGATTATCTCAGAATAAATGTTGACAAAATGAATTTTCAGAATGTTATATCCACTGCAAAATATTGTAGGATATTTCCTGTTCTGTGGCGCCAAGACGGCCTGCAATAATGACAGAAGATGCAAAAAGATTTTGTTACATCTGGTGAAGAAAAGAAAAAAAATCTTTTTGAATTTGTTGTATGATTTATCAATAATGACGAAAGAAAAATATTCACCTTGAGAGACTCAAAAGAGAGGTTATCGTAAGAGAGTCGCTGATAATTTTTCTGTCGACATGTCTGGCACCCTTTCGTCTTTTAACTTCCAAACATCCATAAGATTTAGCCCTTCTAGAAGCAGACCACGAACGAACCACAGCCACCACACAGCCCAATTGTTCTTCGCATTGCTGTGACCCGGAGTGGAGAGCTTAGTAACTTTATTTTACATGTCCAGGAGCGAAAGAAAGGGAATAATATTTGTGGTAATCTCTTAAGTCTATCAGAAATGAAAGGGAAGCACTGCTGAGTTGAGTGCAAGCTCGTATTTATGTTGAAAGTACCAATGTAACAATGTAACCGATCCTCAACGTGTGTTTACGTAGAATAAAACTTTTCTATCTTCTAAAAAAAAATCCTCGAATACCATTCATGGCCTATCGACGAAAGGTTTTCTGAATCTTCTCATGAAGTATGGAATGACAGAGACGTCTCAATGCAGAACCGTTCATAAAACTGATATTGCGAAACTATTGAACATTCCTCAAACTTGTAGGGGATACTTGAATCGGGAAAATGAAATAATTTAATAAGTTGTACTCAAAAATAAAATCCAGAAACTTGAGAAAATTTGTGGGCTTTCTTTCGTTTTCTTGAGAAAGTTAAAATTGACTTCATGTCATAGATAAGGAGGAGAGGGGAAAATTATTAAAATTATTCCTTCATGCATTCATAGCACAGCAACAGTTTCGTAAACTGAATGCAAAGAAAAATAATGGAAACATGGATACATTAAGATAAAAATAAATTTATTTTAACTGCAATTTGTTATAACACGGTGGAAGCTAATTACAGCAATAGGGCTATAACTAACATAAAAATTATATTATAATAATGGTACAATAACATAAAAACTGACAGATGTGGTAAAATAATAATAACATAAAAACTGACAGATTAATAAAATATTAAGTTACACTAAGAAAAAGAAACTTCTATAATCTAACTCCTCACTGATTATTTGTACAATTTAATTTGTAATATTTATACAATGATGACAATGCCATTTTCATGTCCCTAAAAATAAATTTAGCTGTCCTACGGTGAATCCTTTCCAAATTTTTACATTGCATAATTCTGTGCGTGTCACAACAAATGGTTCAATATTCCATTATCAGACGAACATGCGATATATTATCAATTTCCTTCGCATTTGCCGCACCCTTTTTTAAGATACGCATAACAAAGTGAAGAAATCTCCAGACTTTCCCTACAACATAATCAACGTGGCTTTTCCTGCTTAATTTACTATTGAAATGGATTCCTATGTATTTACAAGACGACACTTTCGAAATAGTAAGATATTCAAACGGTAATATGTTTCTCTGTAATTATGATCCTTGCCAAAAGTGATGGATTTGCTTTGGAGCTATTTATGGTCATTATTTTCCGCTCAGTAATATAACGCA